GACAACATGGGCGCGCCTTTTGATGGCACGCCTTTTTATGGATTGGGCACGCCTTTAGTGCAAAGGCTGGATCGTTCTCTGATGGGAGAGAGTTAGAGAGAGAGTATAGGGAAAAAATGTTATGGGTAAAAAACCACATCACGTATCTGATGTTCTATATATTAAAACATATAATCAGATATATAACCATATATATCCATCTATCCATATCTCCTAAGGATAGGATGGATGTAGATAGATAGAGGGTTATCCTAACAAATAGGATAATTAAGAAATCAAATTCAAATTACATGGGTAATTTGAATTTGATTTCCCGATTATCCTATTTGTTAGGATAACCCTCTATCTATCTACATCCATCCTATCCTTAGGAGATATGGATAGATGGATATATATGGTTATATATCTGATTATATGTTTTAATATATAGAACATCAGATACGTGATGTGGTTTTTTACCCATAACATTTTTTCCCTATACTCTCTCTCTAACTCTCTCCCATCAGAGAACGATCTAGCCTTTGCACTTTGACTAGTGTCGGTGATACTCATACTGTAGTATCACTCTATTGCTAGGTGTTCATAGTTAATGGTTGTCAAGCATGTGATTTACCAACAAGGTTCTTCGTTTCGAATTCTTTTACGCAAGGTATGGTTTGAATCTTTTTACCCGTTGCGTTATCTGTATCTTACAACTTAAAAGACTTTTCTTCATTTTTACGTACATACACATCTATGATAAATTGTATGTATATATAATGTTATGTTGACTTTTTTTGTGTGATGTTGTGTATGAAGCTTTTCATAGTCATTGTTGCCTATGAAGCACGGGTACAGGTACGAATACGAATACTAGTACTGGTACGATACGGATACATCAATACGGTAAAATTTTTAAAAAATAGGGTACGGGTAAGGCTTGGTACGCTTGTAAAAAAATATTCATTTTTAATTTAGAGTAATGAAAAAATTAATTAAATGATTTAATTTGTTAAGGTTCAACTTACAATTAAACATTTAATGTCAAAAGTAAAGGTATAAATCAAAGGTAAATGTCAATATATTAAATAACTTACAAACCATAGTTTAATTTTAAAATCATGCTAAGTATAAAACAAAAAATAAAAAAGAAGTCTAGTGAAAAGAGTTTTATCTCTGCAGTAGAAGAAGATATTATTTCAACTGAGGTACGGTACGGCTTAGGTATATACTAGGTACGTCTGGATACGCCAAAAATTAAAAAGAAAAAGCTTGGGTATGTGTTGTGTACCCGGCCAGTACGTATGCAGAAGTACCATACGAGGAATATACATATTTGCTCTATCAAAGAGGAATAGACTTTCCAATTCCTCCAAACCAATATTATAGAGAAGAAGAACATTCAATTATCTCCTTGGATTTGCTCAATAATTTTATACTATCACCGCCACCTTGGTTTAAATGACATCACTTAAAAGATTTTTCATCATTTTTACGTACATATACATCTACCATAAATTGTATGTATATATATAAAATTTATTTTGATTTTTTTTGTGTGATGTTGTGTATGAAGCTTTTCATAGTCATTGTCGCTATATGCTTAGCTAGATATAGTGATCTATCTGCCTATAATTTTCATTTCTTTCACTGTTATTAATTTCCTATGTCAAATGTGTTACAAAGAGATTAAATAACTTCAATTTGATGATGGTATTATTATCCCATGAAAAAAAAAATACACAAAAATTGATGATATTCTAAACATAAAATTTAACAGGGACTTTGAATATTTTGTTAATTACTTTTTTATTTTTCTTTTTGTCCATTTTTTTAAAAAATTTACTGGGTTGCCGATCTTTTGAAGCAATTTACGGCATCATTTCTGGTAACATTTCATTTATACCATAAATTTTATATTTAGAATTGTTATTGTCTTTCAATGATTTATTCACATTTTGTGCTTGCTATGACTCCTAGTAGTTTGAAAAACAGTCTTCACAAAATTACTTTTTAAATTTATCCGTATCTTATTTTTTCAGAATTTGTATCGATGTATTCATATTGTGTCATACCTCTATCATGTATCCCATTCCATGCTTTATAGATTCAACTAGTCACTTAATCTCTACCAATATTACACTTCGAATTTTTTTGCGTGCCGTGACTTCTAGTAGTTTGAAATGAAGACTATTTGGTAGACTAGAAAGTCAACACACACTTGATGTGCTTGAATACATCGTAGGGCAGCATTGCAACTCTTGATGATAGTGGAGTTATATGCGGAGCATGGGACTGGAAGTAGAGAGCTTACATACTTTATGGTGGTTATGTAACTGTGTATATAAAATAACTATGTGACTCTCAAATGATTTGATTAATTATCACCATCTGAATAAATTAATCAATTTTTATTCAACTTTTTCTTGAAATCTAAAGTCTGACTCAGCTTCGCCGAAATTAGAGTGTTTCCTAATTATAGATAAATAAAGAAAAATAGTTTATCCTAAAAGATTTATGACAATTACTTTTTAATTTATATATATTTTTATTTATGGTCGTATCCTTTAACATAATCCATATCCTACTTTTTTCAGAATTTGTATTGGTGTATCCATATTGTGTCATACCTCTATCTTGTATCCCTCTAGCCATGCTTTATAAATTGTAACTAGTCACCTAATCTCCGCCAATACAATACTTTGTACTTATGTCTTAATATGAGATAACACAAGTATATTGGAAGAAATACTCTGTAATAATCTAATTGTAGGTTATATAGTACGTGAATGATATTTCTCTGCTCCATGTAGGCATGTTTATATTCTAATTCTAATTTTCATGTCTTATTGTTTATCATTGTGTTAAGACTAATAATCAATTCATTAGAATAGACCTGTGTTTCTAATTCTTCAGTTACTTTCAGGGATGGGAGCAAAATTTTAAGAACCTTAATATTTTACAGTAGTTCCCTTATGGTAGGTCTGAATTTCTGATATCATTTTATTTGTGAGATATTTCATAGTTCTGCATCATCTTTGACTCTCCTAATTCTTGATAACTAACACATCAATATCTAAAGGACTCTAATTTGCTTAGGCTGTATGAAAAACCACCAACTGATCTTAGTTTCTGCATCAACATTAGGAACAATTCTGCAGTTACTTGAACAGATACATTCTTCCATTTTCAATTTTAGCCTGAAACATTTTATTCTTGAATTCATTTTCACAGTAGTGCTGGAGAAAATAGATGAGCAAGAAGGTTTCAAGCTGTTTGGGACCACTGATTCTTGTGAACCTGAAAATGCAGTAGAAATACTCGAGCAAAGGGAGCAAAAGGTCTTATTTCATGAATCCACTGAGTTGGGAAGAGCAAGCAACTTGCGCAAAAGTTTAGATTGGGATACTGCTTTTTTCACCAGTGCAGGTATGCTTTTACAAGAAATCTGAAATATTTGGTGCCTTCTGCCAATGTTAACTCATTTCATATGGGTAGAGCAAGTTAAAATTCAAACTCATTAATGCTTCATGTGTGATCAGGACTTCTAGATCCAGAAGAGTTGTTTATTATAAATAAAAGATTTGAGAAGGTTGAAGCTCACCTATTACCCGTAACTCAAGAAGATCTGTGTACGCGGAGATATGCAGACTTAGAATCTACATTAGATAGTGATGACTTCTCCTTGGACAGCAACCAAAGCACTGAGGTTGATTTGTTTGAAGATATAAGAGCATCCATTGAGAAATCCAATATAATGTCCAATATTTGCAAGTCAGTTTGCAAATCAGGAGTTGGAGAAGCCCACAAACGGGAAACCCACTGTAAGTATATTGCAAATTCAGAACAAATCTTATTGTGAATGGAAGAAGAAATTTTTGCCTGTTCATTTTGTATGTGAATTGCAATGTGATTGCATTTAAGGTATCCCAAAGAGATTTAATGGGTAATCAGGCCTTCCGCTATTGTTGCAGTAGGAAATATTGAAACCTCACTTGTCCTAAATTCTTTTCTTACTCATAGGCTTAGTAAGCATAATATCTTGTGTTTAGGAGGTTGGTACCTAGCCTTAGTGTCTTGTAAAAAATGTTATATGGTCTCCCTTTTTATGCATCTGTTTATCACAAATATATGCTCAATATCTATGGTTGCATCTTTTCAGCCTTGAAGAAACTTGATGACATCTCTCGAAATAGGGTATGTGCTATTGATTGTAGTCTTTCATTGTAATTGTTCTAGCATTTATTGAGAAATTAAGTTCTTTTGTATCTAAATATCAGGTGAAATCCACACGAACTTCTAGAAGCCAAAGCGTCTATATGCAAGGATCAAAAGGAGTTAAGGAGGTTGTCCATCCACAAATCGTCCAGGCATGTATACATCGAAGAAAATGAGATTATATAGTTCCTTTTAGTATTTAGTATGCATAAGTGTTCATCATCTCATTTGCTCAAATTGAAAGGCTGCATTATTATTTATAACTTACAAGTTACAAGTTTGTCCAGGCATGTATAAATCGAAGACAATGAGATTATATAGTTCCTTTTAGTATTTAGAATGCATAAGTGTTCATCATCTCATTTGCTCAAATTGAAAGGCTGCATTATTATTTATAACTTACAAGTTACAAGTTTGTCCAGGCATGTATAAATCGAAGACAATGAGATTATATAGTTCCTTTTAGTATTTAGAATGCATAAGTGTTCATCATCTCATTTGCTCAAATTGAAAGGCTGCATTATTATTTATAACTTACAAGTTACAAGTTTGTCCAGGCATGTATAAATCGAAGACAATGAGATTATATAGTTCCTTTTAGTATTTAGAATGCATAAGTGTTCATCATCTCATTTGCTCAAATTGAAAGGCTGCATTATTATTTATAACTTACAAGTTACAAGTTTGTCCAGGCATGTATAAATCGAAGACAATGAGATTATATAGTTCCTTTTAGTATTTAGAATGCATAAGTGTTCATCATCTCATTTGCTCAAATTGAAAGGCTGCATTATTATTTATAACTTACAAGTTACAAGTTTGTCCAGGCATGTATAAATCGAAGACAATGAGATTATATAGTTCCTTTTAGTATTTAGAATGCATAAGTGTTCATCATCTCATTTGCTCAAATTGAAAGGCTGCATTATTATTTATAACTTACAAGTTACAAGTTTGTCCAGGCATGTATAAATCGAAGACAATGAGATTATATAGTTCCTTTTAGTATTTAGAATGCATAAGTGTTCATCATCTCATTTGCTCAAATTGAAAGGCTGCATTATTATTTATAACTTACAAGTTACAAGTTTGTCCAGGCATGTATAAATCGAAGACAATGAGATTATATAGTTCCTTTTAGTATTTAGTATGCATAAGTGTTCATCATCTCAATTGCTCAAATTGAAAGGCTGCATTATTATTTATTACTTACAAGTCACAAGTTTGTCCAACATTTGGTAGTCTAACATGTTGGATATGCAGACACAAGATTGTGTAAGGAAATGAAACTGTAACTCTAAGATATGAATTAACTGACTCAAATTAATTTGATCAATACAGGATGCTGAAAAGAATGGTGAATCTAATTCACTTCCTCACAAGTCACCCAAGATATTAGGCAGGATGAACATGGTGTTAACAAGACAAAGAAAAAAGATTTCCTTAGGTGCGGACCATGTCAAAATGGGAAATAAAGTTGCAACCCTTGGATCTGGTAAGAACCTTCATATAATTTAAAAGTTCCTTTCTTCCACTTCTAATGGAATTTACATCAAAATGCATTGACTGTTACAGGGAAAGATTTAGTATCCAAGAAATCTGGATTGGGGAACTCATGTTGTTCCACAAGCTCTACAACATCCCTTGAATCATCTTCTTCAGTTTCTGTCACTACCAGTAATGATTCATCAGCTTCTTGTTCTCCATCTGGTAGTGCTTCGTCGTTGAAATCTTCCTCAAACTCGAGAAGAAAAGCAGATTCCAAGAAAAGTAGACTTGCTGCCTCTAGTTCAACCTCCAAGACTCCTCTCAGGTGCTTACTAGGAGACAAAATTGTGTTGGAAAATCCTGGTTTGTCTTGGGTTTGGTAGAGTTGGATCAAATGGGATGTGGAGGGTCCATTTCAATAATGGTAACATTAAATAAATAAAAAAAATTATATAAAAAAACTTAAATAAAATTATATGATTTGATGGGATTATTCCTTTTAACATCACAATACTCATAATAGTCATAATTCTGATAATATTATTGTCATACCATTGTATGTATTTTATGTTTAGAAATTTAGTTTATAAATTATTTTTCTTTATCGAATCTTGGTTAAATACTTCAATGAGTAGTTAGGATTGTCTTGTTATTGGATGTGTGTTATCAAAATACAACTTTAATGCGGTTAGATATAAGTGTGATTTTTCTTTTTATTTTTTAGTATGTTTGATGGAAAGTAGAGAATCAAATAGAAGTTTATAGACTCTGCTTATTGTCTTCTTTTTTTCCCTTTTTAAGTAAGAAGAAGAATAGAGGAAAGAAAAATTATATTCCCAAATGATAAAACATAAACCCTAACATTGCACTAAATAAAGAATTATCTCATCTTTTAAGTCAACCTTTTGTCTTATAAAATTACAATATAAAAGTACTATCTTTTTAAATATCATGGTAAAATTGTGCTTTATTTATTTATTTATTTATTTATTTTCTTCTTCTTTTGTGTGTGTGTTTTTCAGTTGAGATTTATTATAGGAAAATACACTACATTTGTACTTGATTTTTTTACTGCTAGACACAAAGACACTTCTCATAAATATTCATTAATGTGAATATATTACTTAGTGTACTAATAAAATAATAAATATTCATTAATGTGAATATATTACTTAGTGTACTAATAAAATAATTTGAAGTCCTTAGAGCATCTCCAACCGTTCACTTCTTTTTTCACCAAATCTGAGTACAAAATAGGTTGTTTTCTCAATTTGATACGGCTTCCTTCAACGGTGAGCCACTGAAGTTAGCCACTGAAAATGCAGCAGTCACTGAAGTTAGCCACTGAAAATGCAGCAGTCACTGAAGTTAGCCACTGAAAATGCAGCAGTCACTGAAGTTAGCCACTGAAAATGCAGCAGTCACTGAAGTTAGCCACTGAAAATGCAGCAGTCACTGAAGTTAGCCACTGAAAATGCAGCAGTCACTGAAGTTAGCCACTGAAAATGCAGCAGTCACTGAAGTTAGCCACTGAAAATGCAGCAGTCACTGAAGTTAGCCACTGAAAATGCAGCAGTCACTGAAGTTAGCCACTGAAAATGCAGCAGTCACTGAAGTTAGCCACTGAAAATGCAGCAGTCACTGAAGTTAGCCACTGAAAATGCAGCAGTCACTGAAGTTAGCCACTGAAAATGCAGCAGTCACTGAAGTTAGCCACTGAAAATGCAGCAGTCACTGAAGTTAGCCACTGAAAATGCAGCAGTCACTGATCCTGTTCTGTAAGGATAAATCACTATTAATATGCTGTGAATAATCTGCAGGAAATTTGAGAGGGAATTTAATTCTGAGCTTGAGAGTCTCGGGCCAATTTTGAGCAGCAGTTCTCAAGCCGAGCCATATTTAACTCATCCTGCTCAGTGGATTCTTAGTGTTGGAAGGGACCAGTAAGTTAGTTCTGACACTTTGCTCCGTCGTTTTTTGGGTGTAGACAATATTATTTAAGATGCCTTGCTTGCATTTGACTGTATGTATAGGATAGAGAGTTTTGTCCCTTGTTTGATTCTTGAGTTTTGACTGTATGTATAAACTCGTTACACTGCCAACCACCAACATATATAAACTCATGACACTGTATTTTGGGTTTGAATTTGGGGTTAGAGATATAGTTTGTATTAAGGTGGGGGTTCAAAGAGAAAATGGAGGGGTTTCATTTTGTTGGATGGGGGTTCAAAGAAGTGGGGGGGCCAAAGTAAAATGGTGGGGGCAAATAGCAGCCCTCATAATTTAAGATGTCAAATATGGAATGCCTTAAAACTCACATTAGCATTTCATCACAGAAATATGGATTTCAACATATAACTTACAAAAAAGCAAAAAGAAAAAAAAGGCTTTCAATATATGAAAGCAAGAAGAATGTTTTCATAGCTAGGAGCAAGACTAAAGTGAGTGAAATTTAGGTAAAAATGAAGGAGCATAGATCCTATTGGCTGAAAGCTATCTTTGACATGTATATTACCAATGCTGTCCTCTACTGTGTCCTAAATATTTGTTACTAACAGTGACTGCCTGCCCTTCCTGTCTCTACTTTACTGTATAAATCTTATAATTTTAGACTGTTTGCTGCATTTTGCTGATTAGTCCTGTTGTACCTCTCTAGATTGTGATTCCATTGTTATTGGTCTATGTTTTTATTTATTTTCCCTGACAAAATCCTTTGAATTACTGACGTCAAATTGGTGTTTCTTGTTGTAGATCGAGTGTCTAAATGTAATCATCCTTACTGCAACAAATGTTACCGAGCTGGACGGGCAATGGGATTGTCTGATTGAATTAACAAGTTCTAGTGGCCTTCTAGCATTGGCGGAACCGTTTGTATCTAAGCGCTTGAGAACCACTCAGTCAGATGTACGTGCCAAGTTTACTATTCTGTACTTTGTTATTTTTTTTTTCAGTTTCCATGATTTTGTTATTGTATGGTAGTCTCTGCTAGAAAAGAAGATTTTTTGTTTTGCCTTCGTGTTTGCCACTTGATTTCTGCCCACCCTTGAATTTCCCTTCATTATACACACAATAATTTTCCCTTTTCTTGTTATGTGTTGTTTGGGTTTTACACAACTGGCAGGAAAACGAAATATAAATAACAAAAGGATAAATTTCCCTCCATTTCACTGTCGGTTAGTCTGTACAAAAACTGAACATAGAAATGCAAAAGGGGGCCAAAAATGGTTCAATCAAGAGCCTGGTTATAAATAAGGAAAGATAATAGAGCATTATTTAATAAAACAAATAGCAAGAGCAATATTTTTGCTCAATTTAGAAATTGAGCAAAAATAGAAGAAAGCTGAAGGAGGACATAGGTTGAGATTGTACAAAAGGAGGTGATTGTCTTAGACTAATTGATGACATGACTTTTAATAGGAACTAACCGGAGAAAACAGTTCAACCCCAAGTAATTGGGATGGAGGCTTGTTAAGTTGAGTCAATTTGAGATTGAAGAATAAATTGTGTTGCTTATTGTCATGAAAAGGATAATAATACACTACAACAAAAGTAACCTATGGTGACGAAAACTAGTGAAGAAAATCAGATTCGTCACTAAATAAAAATAATTCGTGAGGAATTTATAGAAGAGGATAATAATATTGAGAAGATTTTTATGTGGTTTTTGTTAGTAGTGAGGCTTTGACATTGCTTTAATAGCCCTCCTCGAGAATTTTTTCCTCACCAGCTCAAAGAATTTTGTGGATGAATTCTAAGTCAGATTTAATATTTATATTTCACTTATTTTATTTTATGTTTTTTTTTATTTTTTGGTGGCATGTTTCCCTTTATGCTCTAGTTTATACATGCATGGGTACTCTCACACTTAGGTCCATGAGAGTACTTAACTCAATATTTGGGTATTGCAAGCTAGCAGGAAGTGTCGACATTGTTGAACTGTTAGATCATTATTCTTTGAGCCAACTTGGCTGGTAATCATTGTCTTCTTGTGCCGATGCCATGTTCAAATTCCTTTCAACAGTTTTTCTGGTATATCCATCTACTTCTTCCTTGGTACTCTGTGAATCGGGGTAGGTAGAACTTATCAATGAGGAAACAGGTAAACTTTGCATTCGTATGGGAATGGAGTGGTCAATATTGCATATTTTGAAAGTTTTGGTGAAATTGTTGCTAGGCTTGGTTTGTGTGAGTAATGCTTAATCAAATAGTTGTGCAATAGCTTTTGTTTGTGGTGTCATTGATTCTTGATGTGTTCTACCTAATACAGGTAGAAACTGCTCAACCTCTATCAAAACTGTGTCTTGAATTCCCAGATCTTTACATAGGTGAGCATCTTTAGTTTTAACTGTGATTGGGAACCATAACATAACCGTTTCTTTCTCTTCTAATTGTGTTATTTTTTTTGAAACATCAAGGTTGCTATCGTGAATCCAGAACTGGTCCCCTTGTTATTAGTTTTGAAGGCAAGGTACGGGGATAATTGCATGATGATGTCAATTAGTTCAAAATATATTTAATCCTTAACAATATGTTATTTCGAATGGTAAAGACCTTCTTCCCATGATTGGCTGCCGGATCAATCAAGAGTAGAAGCAGCTGCGGAAGCACTTTGCAAGAAGTTTCATCCTGGGACGCCAAACAAATACGACTTACTAAGAGCATTTCTAATTGTTCATTTCTTTTTTTATCAAATTTGAATAAAAAATAGGTTATTTTTTCAATTTGATACGGCTTCCTTCAACGGTGAGCATCAAACTTGTCGAACAAAATATATACAGAATTGAGGGAAGGGTTATCCGGTGGGTCGACGACCGGTAAGACTAAATTTTTTATTTTTTATTTTTTATTTTTTAACCTGTTTGAACCTACCTATTTGAAAGAGAACCGGTCGACCGGTTGGTCAACTGGCCAGGCATCCGGCTAGTTGACTGGTTGGTCTCTCCCAACGGTAAAGCATAGTAAAATAGTGAAATCTGGAGCCTGTTTCACTTTGATGAATTTTTTATTTCATTATCATTTTGATACCAATTTGCTTAAATCATTGGAGCTCTAAAAAATGATTTTTTTACCAAATTTCAAATCTGATGAAAGGTTTGATGAATCGTTGGAGATGGCCTAACAAGTAAAAATAAATGTTAAACAAGCAACTTTAAAATAAAATATTTTTATACACTCTTACAAATGAAAACCCAACAATTAGAAGGGCAATTTTGGTTAAGAGACTTACCTGCAGGTCTTGATAAGTCGATTTTATTCTCTAATAAGTCATGAGAATTAATGACTTTTTTCATCAAATACAATTAGAAAAGTCACTAATTGTTAATTTTTAACGACAATTTAAAAATTGTCACAAAATGTCACTAATTAGTATAAGTTTTAGTGACAATTTTAAAAAATTGTCACAAATTAGCTTTCAGCGACAGTTTAAAAAATTCGTCATAGAAAAACATCACTAATTGTAAATTTTAGTGACAATTTATAAAAAAAAACATGAAAAAAGAAGTCATTGATTGTCAAATTTTAACGACATATGCAAAAACATGTTACAAAAAATTATTTTTAATGACGGCTTTACTAAGACTTGTTTTTAATAAAAATTGATAGAAATTAAGTTTAACTATTAGGACTTATTAATAGTTTGCTCTTTTGGTTATTCACGATTAATTATCCTGATGGATAGAGCTGGCATTTTTTTAAAATCCTACTAAATTGGTGTAAAAAAAAAAAAAGAAAAAAAAGAAAGAAAAAAAGTTAAAAGACCATGTGACAAGAGTTATCCAATGCAATAGGACTGAATTATTATTATTGTTTTTTTAGATAGAATAGGACTGAATTATTGGAGTGACGAAATTAAATACAATCTTTTGATAGGAGATATATCTCATATTTTTATGAGTTTTATATTCATGCGAGAAAGTTGTGTTTAATTCTATAATTGATTTATGTGAAAAAAAAAAAACTAAAATAGACTAGTGGTGAGCCTAATTTGGTCAATTAATTTTTTATAATTAAACCTGAGTTACTACATAATTTATTTTTTAGATGCTAGTTGTTTTAATTTTATTTCTTAAGCTTAGATTATTTTTCATTTTTTGTATTTTTTTTTTTTTTTTGAAGTGGTATTTTCAAAATTTACACTTTACAAAACAATAGCCCTGTTTGGTAGAGCTGTGGGAAAGTACTTATAGCTTATGTCTAAACAGCTTATAGCTTATAACTTTCAGCTTAAGCTGATTTCCAGCTTATTCTTAAAGCATCTCCTGCCCCACTCAAAGAATAAGCTGATTTTTGACTTCCACAAAGCTATAAGCTATAAGTTATAAGCTAAACCAAACACATCAAAATAGCTTAAATTAAGCTGAGAGTTGAAATAAGCTGTAAATAATTTCTGCCAAACAGGCACAATATGGATGGAGGAAAGGAATCTGCTTACCTTCAGAGGAAATATATTTACAAAGCATTCTTCTCCATCTCTTTTCATTTATTTTGGACGTGGAATTTTATAGATTTTTATAAAAATTTTAAAATCTTTCTTGAAGCCATCATTTATACTAAATTAAAAAAATTCACAAAACCAAAACCATAATACACAGTTGGTTTTAGTTCCTCAACTAACAAAAGCAAACGGTTTGTTTCAGTGTTAAATTTTTGTTCAATCTCGACTGAATTGAACTACTTACACTCCTAATTGTATCTCTAAAATTTTAGAAAGAATTATACTGTGAATTTATTGAGAAATATCACTTGATTGCGTCACATGCTGACATTCTACTTAGGGAAAATTAGTGTACGGTCCCTCTCCCACTTTTCATAATAGAAGAGATCCACAAAATTATTTTCTGATGTCTAAGGTCCCTAAACATATATCAGAGAAATTAGTCTCTCCTCTCTCTCTTCTCTGCTCCTCCACCCTCCTCTCCACCATCCTCTACGACATCTTCCTCAACACCTTCTCCTCCGACTCCTCCCTCCGCTCTACCACCGTCAGCCGGTTGAATCTGATGAGGAAGAAGAGACTTTCTTCGATTTGGAATTTGCTGTGCCAGGTTTTGACGAGTAGGAAGACAAGGACGATGGTTTGGACACTGACGAAGGTTCGGACACTGACGAAGTTTCGTACAACGATTTGGCTAAAAAAAGGATGGCGTGAGTCCGATTTCGTTGAATTTCCTAATGATGTGTTTTTTAAAGGAACCAATGCTGAAGATCTCTATTGGTAATGGCAGACAGTGCACTGCAGAGGAATATTGTTAACTTTGATGAGCATCTGTTTACCCCTGGATTTATTAAGAGCGTTAGTGGGGCTAGTGGGCACAGGCCTGGTATCCACCTGGAAGTAAATTTGGGCCAAATACATGGGCCTGCTGCTCCAAATGGGCTGACTGAAGAGGGGTGGGCACATCCATAGTCCACACAAATAAAGCTCATTGGGCTGGTACCAGGAAAGATGGGCTCTGGGTGCACTCAAGCCAGACTACCATCAACGGAAGCTCAACGCTGTGAAGAAGGCAAGAAGGAA